GAAAAGGTACTTTATTTTAATATCGAAAAACAACGTTTACAGTTTATTACGATTATTGCTTCGTAGAAAAGTTGGTTTGTTCAAATATAACAATAAAACGTGGATAAAACACGCATCTCATCAAGTTACCACCTTACATTAGTAAAGCGAGTAAGAGACTAAAAATGATGTATGGTTAACAATTCAAAGCAATATTACTGTATTTTATGGTAAAAATACAGTTCAATACACAAAATACATGTGGATTGTCGTTAACTGTGGGATTTATGACCGGCAATTCGTTCTATTTTAAACTTGTCAGTGAGTACACCTACACTTCAGTCTAGATGTTCACATTGAGGCTGGAACCTATTGCCTGTCACCAATGTATTATTCACCAAATTACTGAATTATGTAAAGGATATTTTGTATAAACAATATCCATAAAACCTCTTTAGCTAAAAGTTAACAGTCAGCTCATTAGTGACTTTCTGCCCTCATTTCCTGATATTTTATTAAGAAATCGTGACTGGTGATGTTCGGCAGTAAAAGCATCGTTGTTAATGAAATCAAATGATCTTCATCTTTTATCACAAATTGATTGAACTTAAAATTATAGCATTGTATCCCCTCCTAGTTGTTTTAATGGCTGAGGATCTACTTTGCGACTTGAACATCTTGAGTTCGATCCCTGGAACGTTCATAGGTGCACACTGTAGAGAAATTTCATACCAGGACAAAAAATCTGTTCAGTGTTCCTCGATTTTCAATGTTACCCTACCCGTACGCAATCTATAGCGAATATAATCTACAAATTAAGCCAATCTCTATAGCACAATTTCATCTCAAGTGAAATACATTACCATGATTAAATCTAGATGACCTAGTTGAATTCTATTCACCATAAGACTTACACATTCTAACTGATTCAAAATAATAATACTCCATCATAGTTTTCGTTAATCCTTCAATCAACGACTGTTCATGATGTATTTTTTCTTCAAATTATGCAATAATAAGCACGAATATCCACTTAAATGAACTAGTTAAGTCCTCAGTTGTTCTTTTTTAAACCGTTATTATTATTATTATTATTATTATTATTATTACGTTTCATCAGTTTATTTGAACAAAAGTACCACATGAGAACTCTCATATTTGATTTTTTTCCAAATAGTTGAATTACACTTGAAACAAATATGAAAAAAATATAGTTTTCAATGTAAGGATCAAGTGGAAATCTAACTAAATCAGTGGAAAGTATAATCATTTTAGATAAGTAAATAAAAAAATACAATTTCAGAATGATAATAACAATAATCACATCACAATAGGATGAAACGGCCATCCAATGCTTCCATGTATTCCATGATGGTCTAACTTCAATTGACTTATGATTTCAACCATTGAAATTATTATAATGTCCACAAAAACCCCTTCTGATAACAATCATCTGCTCACTAGTGACTGACTTCAAGAGATACTCCTGGAGTTCTAGTGAGAAGTCGTTACCCGTGGAGTTTAACCAGGTCGGTTGTGAGATATCAACTCACTGAAGACAATGGTGTACGGTGGCGCAACTTCGTGGATTGGTTGTAGTTGGACATTAGCACCGTTGGATGTCGGCTCAGCGGTCTAATGGTTAAGTGCTCGCGCGAAACCAGTAGGTCCTGGGTTCGAATCACGCAGGGGGCGGGGTGGTGGATGGGTCCCATACTAGGACGAAACGGCCTTCCAGTGCTTCCAGGTTTTCCATGGTGTTCTAGCTTCAATTGACTCATGATTTCAACCAGTGAAATCTTGCAATAATTAAAAAGAAAGACTGTATTTGTAAAATCTCAATGAAAGAATTTGTAGTAAGCCCAACGTTTCGCCTTGCAATTTGGTCCAAGCTTTTTCAAGGAAATAATCTTGTAACTAATTTCTTTCTTCGGTTTATTCTACTTGTGAAAATGATCAGTATTTATGTAATATAAAGCTTTTTCAATGATGATTAGATGGTGTACATTTTTTAGATACAAACATTTCCTACCAGTTTTGCATATACAATGTCTTTCTCTTTTTCGTTATTGAATATATTCCATATTATGGTAATCACTTCTCATTTTTTACGAAAGATGAAACAAAACAATAAAATTTGAAAAGAAGATATGCCAAAAAACTGTGGTAGTTCAACTTGAATACCTTTTGTAATTAGTTTTTTTTAGTTGATAAAAGCTCGTAAGCACATTAAATATGAAGCAAACATAACTAATCTATGTAAATCAATCTAAAACTTGAAAATGTATTGTAATGTTTGTTTTTATGTAGTTAGAAAATAATTGATCAGTCTTTATTCAATTTGGATAACCCTTCTTAAGACAGGTTATCCATATTGTTGACATGCTTAATATGTACGCTTTATCAATACGAGTACTTAAATGTAAGAGAAGTCTCTTTGGTTTGTGAAATAGTTAGTGCCAACACGCTTAGCCAGAGTTCTTAGTGTAATTGTTATCAACTAAATTCATTTAATTCCAATTATTGAGATCATGAGTCAATTGAAGCTAGACCACCACGGAAAACATGGAAGCACTGGACGGCCGTTTCGTCCTAGTATGGGACTCCTGAGCAGTGCGCATCCACGACCTCGCCCCACGTGATTCGAACCCGAGACCTAGTGGTCTCGCGCAAGCACTAAAATCAATCTACCTGTGTAACATTAAATGACATAATGTTACAATAAGTAGTACAGTAAATGGTTATTGGCTGATAATAATTAATCAACAATTATTATTATCATTGATTTATTACTTTGTATTCGACATATTAATCTATCCTGCAAGATAATAATTCTTCCATTGATTTTCGGAATTTTAGACACTGTTCATGTTTTTTACAACCTAAGTGATACAGAACAATCTCTTAGTGCAAACACATAAATGCCAAGAGCTCTGGCGCACCCTGGTGAAGCGAATACATAAATTACGGGCATACCATGTTAGTTGGACATTTCGTAATATAAATATTATCAAATATTCAATCATTTGGTCGGTGGTTTTGTTTTCTCAAATTTATCTAAGATTTTCAATGCCAAAGGGAGAAGTTGTTATTCATGAGGAAAAAAATCAGTACTAAAGAATTTATCACATCAAAATCTCATCATCAATTTTGTTGTTCAACTGATAATCTACAAAAAGATTATTTTGACTTCACAATTTAAAAATTCCGGGAACTTTCTATAATTCTTTGGAAAATTCTTCAGTAGACATCAAGATGCTTAAAATAGTTTAATACCAAAAGAAATCATTCATTAAGATGAATAGTCAGTATGGGGCCCTTCCAAACTACTTACTGACAACGCCTATATGCTTGATAGAATAAAAGATTTTGAAGTCTGCTTTTGTATGAATTTAACTCTCTAAATTATTGAGTTAAAATCTCCTTGGTATCTAGATAAATATTAGGCTTTATTTGATGGCTAAAAGTGATTATCAAGAATTCTTGTTTAATTTAAGTTTACTGACGGTTATAACTTGTCATTGGAGTTTATTTGTAATCCTGAAGGAACTAATGTGTACTATAGATAACGAGAAGTTAAAGATAAATTTTGATTTGAAAATGCTTAGTTGATTGGATCAATATTTATGACTGAGAGGTTGTTATTATATTAATAATCATTAAGCTACAAATTTGTTTGTTTATTCTTATTATTATTAATGGCTGTATTCAGTATTATATTTTGGTACAATATAGAATTCTCAGCACCGAGTATTTCAACAACAACAAAAAACCAGTAACAGAGACAAAAAAGGTTTAAGAAACCCCGGAAAACTGTACAACTTTTAAAATCAGAGATATGTTGAGAATGCAAGTTATTGACTAGGTTAACTCTAACAACCTGTTCGTCACAGAGTATATTTGCCAGGTAAGGTATTATAGAACTTTTATACTTTTGCTTGCGTGCATGGATTTTAATGTAATTACGTCTCGCTCTACCAGAAGATATACAAGGAGAAAGATAAGAGTGAAGGGGATGGCTAGTATCTGAGTTTGCATGACTTTAGATGTCTATCCACAACCATATTAATTCTGACCTCGAAAGATTCACCACACATCTTGCTAACTGCCTTCAGCACTCTCCTCAATACAGCAAAGTCTTTTCTCAAAAGCCCGGGAAAGAATAATGAAGAACAGTAAAGAATAATAGATAATATGCAAGAATTGACAAATTGTTTGTATTTGAAAATTACCGGTTATTCAATAGAGATTAATTTCCATCACTTTTAAATAAACACTTGAAAAGATTTTAACTTAATCATCACAACACTGAATACAACATGAGGGTTGACATGGATTAGGGTTAAAATAAAAATAACTGAACCCTCAAATTAATATTTTTTTAAAAAAAATAGATTTTAACTGTCCTTTATTACAACAAATAGACTAATTTTAAAAAGGTCATTTATCAAAATGGTCTCTTTTTCTGATCTAGTTAATACCATCCCATGAACAGATGTTTAGTCTATAGGTTTATAATGGATCAAGAGATTTAAACACGTAAACAATGCCATCTGTCTAGTATTTAATTACTTACTTATACCTATTATCCCTAGTTGAGGAGTATAGGCCGCCCACCAGCACTTTCCAACCATAGTTATTGAATTTTAGACGAATAGATTCCGTTGTTTCATTAATTATTATAATAACCAATTAAATTAATGGAATTTATTTTACACCCACTCATTTTATGATGAATGACCTTGTACAATGAATCTAATCATTTGATTGGTTAGAAAATTTGAAAATTTTGAATGAATTCAATGAACAAATATAATTTTGAACATAAAGAGAAAAATTCCCATTACACAAAGCATGATTATTTGACTTTATATGGATCCTCATTAATATGATATGAATGTAAATTTGCTTAGTGGATAATGATTATCATCCAATACTTATGATGTATATACACTAGGAACTTATAAAAAATTCTACATTAGATTGATTTTATTTGTTTAAAAACATGACAACTTAACATCATGTATATTCTATGTAAAGGTTGGATAATTGTAATATTGATATGTTCATTTATTTGGAGAGCAAATACATATAAAGCAGAACAAAGTAAGTTCAAATATACTCAACATATATTATTCCTTAGTATAATTTAGTTCTATAATAAATACATTTCACAATTATTTTTATTTCAACTTTGAATAACTCTAACAGTGACTTCATGAAATCTCAATTATTCAGTTCAAAATGGAGTTAGAGATTAAGATTAGGACAGAATAAAAGTTAGAGTTTAAGTTTTATTTATCATGAACTGACATTAAATTATGATGCAAGCACTTTATGTAACCTTATGATTGAATGAATTCGGCACACATTCCAGTGTCACTACCTGGAATATGATTGGTTCGTTTTCATACTTTAATTTTATCCAACTTTATAAGTTTGTCACTATGATGTAAATTTATGAACATTTTCTACGTAATTACTGTAGTTATTGTATGAAAATTGCGTAACATAGTTTCCTTTTTCTCAAGCTTGCTGTTAGATCATTACATATAATCGTTATTTAGATGACATTTAAATAAACATTTCGAAGGACGAAATAAATGTTGAATACTTACCTTTTTCTTAAATGAATACTTCTTATCATTCAGTTTAGCCAGTATCTCATTAAAAACTGCTACGTTTTTTACTATTAGTTAGTATTTGTAAGCAATATACACAAATTCAATTTTGAATAATATCCATGACTACTTCACAGTTCTTAAGGTCTCAGGTTTGTCGATTTTGAAAATTGGGGTTCAGAGATACACAAATATTATATGTTTAGGTAAAATGGGACATTTTTCATAGAGCCAACTTTTTGCTTTTAACATGTTACATAGTCTTTGTGTCATTTCTTTCTAACTTATCATTAAGTCACATATGTATGATATATGCTTGCCTAATACCGTCATGAGACATTCTCAGATCATCTGATTATCACCAAGATTCTACTTTAAGTGTTTACTCATTACAGGGTTTTTCCTTTAATCTAATGTTATTTCGACCTTGTTACTTTGGTTTCTAATATGTTACTTAGATTCAGAAATAAAAACCCATTGTATTTTCGATCAATCGAATCACTATAGCGAGGGTTAGTGTTAACTTCGTGTGATAATTTACATTCCATTCAATATTTTCTTTTTGAGTAGCCGTTGATTCAACTAGAATGGAATAGGATTTATTTACGGACGAATCCCTCATTCAAAGTTGGATAAATGTACTTCTGTACAAAACTTCTAACTGGATTAGATAAATCAATTGTAATCCATAATTGTGTGCTTTGATTGATGTAACTTGGAACTTAGCACTTTTTTTTTACTCGAATACTCTTCATTATCTTCTTTTTTCCTCGAATACACTCCTTCCGTTTGTCTATATCATTACTTAAGGTTATGAGTATTGTTTCATCAATTCTCTATGATACACTAATATGAAATATGTATACACAGGCGGATTCTCATCATACCTCTGACCTTTATCGGTTGACTTAATAGCAAAATATTTACCAAATAACCTCATCATCAATTTGTTGTTCAGCTAATTAATCCTGTTATTAAAATACAGGTTTTTTAATGAAACAAGTGTTTGTACATTTGTGTTTATGTTTGTCTCAATTATAATGGACACAATAACCACAATGTGATCTAAATGTTTCTTTTTCTCTTTTAAAAATATACAAAGGATGACTGAATACACTTCAATGGTTCTATGAATGTTTGACGTCATGTATGATTGGATTTTTTTCTAATCATGTGTGCGCATGTATTTCGAATAGCTAACTCATTACTTACGTATAGGGGGGAAAAAAGCGTAGATGGATTATTACATTAAATACATGATGAATTCAATGCTTATTTTTGACGAACTTTTCATAGTTTCGTCATCATATGATGTGATACTCGTCATGTTATTTTCCAGTTAACTATTCACAAAAAAAGGAAATGGTGACAATTTTTTTCTCGGAGAAAAAACCGTCTGGAGGATATAACGTCAATTATTTTTGTAACCATGTAAACGAATGCATTGATGCATATAATATAAGTTGTTTATTCAAATATATCCATTTAAACTGTTTGGTAAACTATTTCTTAAAAGTGAAGATATCTATAAAATATGGATTAAATCCATAAACTATTAAAAATTACTTAAAACTGTTTTCAAGTGAGAAAGTCACTTCAGTCGGTCATGATCAATGTAGAGAAAGCTCGGGGCATGCATACATTGATCCACTTTGTCACATTAGAACAAAAACATGAAGTCAACATAATGCATAGTGGAGGAATCAAAATCATACGGAAACAACGTTGTGTTTGATTGAGATCATAAATAGATTGGTGTTAGACTACTATTGCAAACCTGGAAGCACTGAATGTGCGTTTCGTCCTAGTGTGGGACTCCTCAACAGCGCTCATCCACGATCCCGTCCACGGGACTTGAACCCAGGACTTTCAGTCTCGCGCGCAAATACTTAACCTCTAGACCACTGAGTCGACCGGCATCCAATAGTGTTAATGTCTAAGTTCAACCGACCCATGATATTGCGCGACCATCTTTCATTGTCTGAGGTAGATACCGGTCTCTACCTGACATGGGTTAGCTCCACTGCAATGTACACAAAGAATAGGGACTTATTGGGACAAACCAAATAAAGCACAATAATTATCTCCTTCCACCTTGTTCTCACAATTAGAGCTTGTTTTATTTAATCGAATTTCGAATAACTCATTGGATTAAATCAGTGTATCTGATGTTTATTTAAAGAGTTCAGTTGAATATTTACCTCTTTAATGTTTTATTCAAACTGACAATGAACAGCTTTTTATATGCTGCTAATTACATTCATTACGTTTCTTAAAATATTGTACATTTAATTATCCTAGGATGAATATTTAAACACCAAGACTTATTTCTTTATAGGATCTTGAAAACATTATTTATGACCTATACGATGAATTATTGGGGAAAATCTTAATTTTCATTCGTTGAATTCAAATAAAATGGACGATGATGATAGTGTCGGTGGACTATTGAAATGTAACAACTTTTACCTGTTAATACTATGCATCATATTCCTACTCAATAAACATCGTGCCAACTAACATCTGCTTTGTTATCCATCTGTATAACGTAGTTATGGTGATTTTCTTCATCACATTTCACCACAATACGAATCAAACTTGATTCAGAGGAGAGAGAGAGTGTAAAAACCATTAAGGTTATGGATTTCTTATCAATGGTATTTCCTAAGTGGGCTTTCTCTTTCTCTCTCACATACTGTCTTTTTACGTCAAATCGGATCCATCAATCCTCATATAATCTCTTTCGAAAACTGTTTGATAGAGTAGTAGAAAATGATTTTTCTAATGATTTCTATGTTTGTGTGTATCTGTGTGTCTAATACGCATGGGGATTCTTTTTTTTAACGTGGATAGTTCTTGCTTATTCTGCTAGTTGATAAACTCAAGCTTTTCTATTTCATGATTCATTCATCCAAAAGAAACTGACTGTATTTTCAGCTTATATATATATATATATATATATATATATATATATATATATATATTCGCCCCAACACCCGTTTTTAAACCCTTATTTATGCTTTTTTGTTACATTTAAATTATCTCTGTTTATAATGTTTGTGACTTAAGGAAACAGAGAGGCAGTCCGCACAGGGTGCACATATCCCAATAAGAGACTGATCAATTTCAGTGCTAAACATCAATGGGAAGATTCAAACAACCAATACAAAAATGAATTTCAAGTTTCTTTTCTTTTTTATGCTATTTGTCTTTGTTAATAAAAAACTAATTAGACAGTAAACTAGAATTGTGATGAGAGATTGCTCCTCTTTCAAACGCACACACACACACACGCGCGTGCACGCGTACTTGGATCTTCGTACCCCTTGGAAATAGTATTTTCTACGCCACACTAAAATAAAATGGGAGGTCATTCTTTGTTTTATTGTTATTACTACCACTCTCATTACCAGCATTATTATTTTAAGCAAATAAGATTTTATCTTAGGGATCATTACTGCCTCACTTGACTTTAAATTTTATTTTAAATATTGAATACAACAGCGATGGTAGCAATTTTTTCTAAGTTGGATTTTCTTTAGATCAACTGATTAAGTTGGATCTGATTTGTTATTACACCTTATTTTCCTGTTTTGAACATGCGTTTATATGTTGACTGATCTAATTTGTATTCTGTACAGTTCTCACTTCATATTCTTACTCAGTTGTTAGGTTTATTATGATAAAATTGTTTATTTGTAATGATTTTATTGTTTCGTTGCAGAATTAATTTTAATTACATTTATTTTCTGCGACACCCTTCAACATTGATTAGTAGTAATTGGATCCGGAAGTGTACTTTTTTTTTAATTCAAAAGTCATCAGTCAATAGGTGGTGACGATGATTTCAACTACTCTGGTAGTAAAACCAGCCTAAAGCTTACATAACCAACATTAAATCTCCATGTTAATTGACAATCATGTTTTCTGTTCACCCTTAGCTTTTTCTGCAATCTATTCGTAATTCTAGACAGCATTAAATTCATTCAACATTCTTGTCCCATCCATGTTATTCCTACTAATGCTTAAAGCATAAAATTGGTTTTCATATACTCTACACTTCATTTTAAACATACGCCTTCATATTACCACTTTTCTTTCTACGTTGATTTATAAACTAATCGATTAAGTGAGTTAATCGTCTCCCTCGGACACAAGTCTACTTAACTTTTATATACCAATTTGACAACTATCACTTTATTAATTTTAGGAATTCTGTCATTAGAATTAGTTAATTTGTCTTATCATGTTCTACAGAATATATAAACATGTTCATTCAAGTACATTTTACACATGCTTATCTTTATGTGTGCATGTGTAATACCATAAATAACCTTCATAACTTAGTATTATATTATATACGAGTATTCATCAGAGAAACTGAGTCATTTCATTGATTAATTTATTTTTCTCACATCAAAGCATCGGACTCAATTCCGTTATGTTCTCCTTAAAATAAATAAACAAACAAACATTACTCATGTA